AAAAAAAAAATTTTTTTTATCAAAAAGGTAAATTTGCTCAGCAAACAGCGTCAGCATCTGGTAACTGAAAACCATTTTTCGTCTTCTTCTAGAGTAATTCCCACAGTTTTAAAGTGTCTATGAAAAAAAAAAAAGACAACGATTCATTACAGTAGCTTTTAAATTCCTCAAAATCAAAGACAGTTTCCCATTATCAACTTTACCGTATAGCTAATGTTGATACAGCCAGCCTTGATCATACACTCTGCTTGCCAAGATAAGAAAACACTAAAGAAATTATTAATTGGTGAATTTTGTAGCAATTCTTTCAAATCTAATATGCTTTCCATGATAGATTTACAATTAGATAAATTCATTTGCAGCAATATGTCGAAATTGAAGTTATAAAAACATCTAGCTTCAGAATTCTATAAAAAAATTTGTAGAAAAGTGCTTTTGTGGACCATAACAAACGGTCGCTTAACGACAAACAATAAGCAGTTCCGTTTTTGCTACGAGCTCTTTCATTAAAATACAGCTAGTCACTAATTCACCCGACGATGCGAAGGTGTTGTCCGTTACCGGTTACAGCTCCTAACATCTAATTAATAGAAACTATAAAGAATAGTCTACAGAAAAAAAAAAGAAGTTAAACAAACGGATGCCGGTGGCAGACTTGATCAGCAACATGTAACCCCGAAGTGGCTGAAGAAAATACTGATTTCCGTTCCGGTGAAACCATAGGCATTTTTCACCAAGTAGTTTTTTTTACTACATTTAGAAAAACAAAGATAAATAAAACAGTAGCTTTCCATGGTGTCATATGTTAGTAACATTGAAGCAACGTTTTCTTTCCTTGTTTATTTTTTTATGCTTACTGACTAAAATTTGAATGATAAAGTCTAGTTGACTTAGAGCAAAAGTGATTACACACTTAGACAAATATTCTATTTTCCATCAAAAAATTTCATTTTTTTTTTCGTCCTATCTGACCTTCGGTTTCTCTCTTTGTGTTCTCTTCTCTTTGGAACAACACTGATCAAAATATTTACCAGTTAAAACTGCATTTTCAGTAATCTTACTGTGCCACTTTTCACCAACGCGTCCCGCTCCATCTTACCTGCCTTCCTCATTTCTCCTTCTAACCAAATACTTGATAATAAGCATAAGCTGCTGTAGCAGTAAAAATAAGCAATAAAAAAAAATCAAGAGGTCTTGGGAACGAACGATTAAGCTCAAGTTGTTTAGCCGCCGATTCACTCAGCACAAAACGTCCGTTGTTATACCATAATGTCATTACGAAAACTTGGTGGAATATCAAAAAACATTTCTGTTGCAACTGCTATAGCCTACTAAATAGTCAATTTTTTTTTTCTTCTCTCCGTTATTGTAATCTTCCTCTTCTTTTATTTGTTTTTTTTTTTGTTTTTCTTCCTCTTTTCCGTCAGTAACAAAAAGTTAAAAGCTTTAATAAACACAAAAAAAAGAAGAAGAAGACAGAAAAGAGAAGAAAGCTAAAAAGAAATTATAAATCAAAATATTTTGAGATCTCAAATTTTATTTTCCTTCACTCATTCATTCAAAAAAAGCACTTCAAATATTAGCAGAAAAAAAGTATGGTAATAAGTAAGTAAACAAATAAATAAAGTAAAGAAAAAAGCATTTAAACATCTCAGTATGAATCAGTATTATTTGAGACTGTAAAGTTTGTAAAGCCAAGAAAAAAAACTGTTTTTGAAAAACAGAAATTTGAAGATGCAATGCATGTAATCTTAAGAGAAGGGAACATATGATGATCTTAAATACCATAAATTGTTGTCATTTTTGTGTTTCTTTTTTCTTTCTCATTTCTGTTTGCCTACTGATAACGCTTTAACGCCAAACAACTATAAAAATCAAACAAAAAA